CATGTAAATAAAAAACACTACATGTACATAAAAACATTACATGTAAATAGAAATATTACATGTAAATAAAAAAACTTTACATGTAAATAAAAACATTACATGTACATAAAAACATTACATGTACATAAAAACATTACATGTAAATAGAAATATTACATGTAAATAAAAAAAACTTTACATGTAAATAAAAACATTACATGTAAATAAAAACATAAATCATTGGAGTTTAGCTCCAGGATCACAGGTTTGTTCCCATCAGATCCTTAAAAAGTCTTAAAAGGCGTTGAATTCATCAGTCCAAAAATAAGGCCTTAATTAACCTTAAAATGTCTTAAATCAATCTTTTAGAGGTCTTAAAAATGGTTGTTGCTAAATACAGGGTTCCCATGGGTCCTTGAAATCCTTGAAAGTTTTTGAATTTGAGAAAAAAAAATGATTTCATGGTCCTGCAGTCTGTGAAAACAGTTTTTTCCCCACAGAAGTGAGATCAGACAATAGATATTTCTGTTTTTGTTGAGGAAAATGGAAATAAGAGGTCAACTTTGACATCAAATCAACAACAAACACTAAACAAACCAAAACTAAAAGTATTTAAGAGACAGTTTTACACTCCGGGCCTTTCAACATCAGTTCCTCTGCTCTTCTTTCTTTTCCTCAGCGTTTGTGGATTTGTTGCCAGATGACATGATACCAAAGAGTTTCCTGAGCTTCAGACACGTGGTGCCTATTTCTGCTGTCAGCGGCTTCGGCCTGGATCATCTGAAGACGTGTGTTCGACAGTCGCTTGATGAGCAGCATGTGATGGAAGCTAACGCTGACCATCAGGAGAAGCTGCAGGAACTCAGAGAGCACTCATCGGTGGGCCGACCTATGACACGTGCAGTGACACGTGCAGTGACACGTGCAGTGACACGTGCAGTGCGTGGTAAAAAACGACAGAGTTTGAACTGAAGGAGACAAGCTGCTTCCCTGCAGGAACATTCATCTGGTCTCATCAGGACCTTTTATCACGTCTGGCTGATGGTTCCAGGTTTACTGCT